AGGCCTCCTTGTTTATGCAACACAGCTACTCCCCATGTTCGCCTGCTGAATAAATGCCACACTAGATGGTACACAGCCTCAAGGGCATGGCCAGGGCAAAGGTCTGAAGAGGCAGTCAGCCTAGCTGGGGGAGAAGCAGGCAAAATCAACTCATGTACAAGTACATGAATGCAAGAGGCAGAGACCCTCAACTACCAGCCATGTTCTCCAGAATGACCTGACCACTGTAACGGGGCATTTTTACTCCATACACAGCTGGAAGCTTTAAGGCCTCTGCGAGCTAGCATCTTTTAAATACTCTGTTCTACCTTATTCCTAAAATGGGAAGGTTCCTGCTTACTTCCGAGGAGGATTTTCTTCCCACACATCATCCCTACAGTGGGCTCAACTCAGCTGCAGGCAGAGCCTTGGTTCTCGTGCTGCATTATTGCCCTACCTTGCAATTCAGATTTCGACACACGTCTTCCCTCCTTCGCTGGGCTCTATCTGGCAAGTCATTTTTCCATTACAACTGCTTCACTTGCCCCATTATTACACAAAACGTTCGCAAAAGCACTTCAAGTTCCAAAACCAACTATTTCTATCAAAGACTATATGATGATTTAGAGTGTTTTGTTCTTTTTAGCAACCCCAAAAGAATCACTAATCACTGACTCAGGCGTACCTCATTACGTTTTTGACCACAGAGGCTAAACTAGCAAGTCTCCTGCAACTACCTCTCCTACTACTGCAAAAAGACTTTCATATTCTCTCCAGAACTAGTTCCTACACCTTTTATCTTTAAAGAACATACCTGCCTGACTAGCTGTTCATAAGACACTCGGTTTCAGCATATGTGCCTCCTGGTCAAGGCCTGTGGCCCTGAGACAGTATATCTCAGTGCAGTAACCTGTCATACAATGAGCTTAAAAAGGTTTTTGGAGAGTTTTTGTGTTGTTTGTAGTTTTTTTTTCTGTTTTTCTTTGGTGTTTTGTTTGGTTTTGTTTTTTTTTTTTAATATAAAGAGCTTTCCTTGACCTAGAGCTAATTTTATCAGTCTCAGAACAAGACTAGGCACGTGCAGATCTCTAGAATTATCTACAAAAATTGCCTACAAGAAACTGCCCAATGGTCCAACTAGAAGTGCTGGAAATTAAGTGACTCATTCCAGCAGAGGATTCGATAGCCCTTCACTAAGGAAGCACATGTGCCATGTATTCCATGACAATTATTTAAAGAAATCTCATTGTCTAAGACCATTCAAACTTTCTCCTTCTCCAATTTCAGGTGACGATTCCCAGAAGAGCTGGTAAATGGACATATCTAGCAGATCAGATCTAACTACACCTGCACTGCCATAACAGCTCAAGGCCTGGCTCACACAAACCAAACCCCCCAACAGTGTGCACTACCAGTGTGCTGCTTTGGATATTTGTTGAAGTGTACGGAGAGCTAGTTGGTCCTCCAGAGGAAAAACTGGCATAGGACATAAATCTGAACTCCAGCCTAGCCACAGCTGTGCATTACCCACTGCTTTGTCCTCCTCGAGCACAACTTAGGCTTAGCTGGGCCTAGTTAAGACTGGGGGAGAAAGGGACAAATGCTCCACGCACAGCTGAGAGGTATTTTGAAAGACTCCACTCACCCAGGGGAGTGTCCACCAGGATTGCATTGTAGAGCTCCGCAGGTGTCTGAGCAATGTTCACAGCTTCCATCTGCTCAAAACTTCCCAGAGGATGGCACTTGGGCACCAGTTCGGAGATCGAACGCTGGTGCAGAGTCCCAGTGATCAGCAGAATGACGTTGTCAATCATGTAGCTGTACCTGGAGCAATGCAAGAGGAAGCCTGTCACGATACAAACACAAACAATACAACAAGAAGCATCTGGCACCAGCCGGGCACACATCTTCAGTCCCTGGGAACATCTCCAGAAAGATGCACCCTTTCCATAAAGAACTAGTAAGGTGCCTCCTTAATGTCTTCTTATCTTGCCAGCCTGGCAGAAGGGAGTCAAGCATAGTCCTAGGCTGTGATTTATGCTACAGCTGAACCACATCATCTGGGCATCTCCTACCTATCACTAAAGAGTATTAGATTGGAAGGGACTTCTGGAGGTCTCTGGCCCAATGTCCTGCTCCAAGCATGGCCAGCTCCAGCTGCTCAGGGCTTTATCCAGCTGAACTTTAGATTATTTGCAAGGACGTGCCTCTCACAATCTCCCTGAGGCTCTACTTCAGTGTCTGACCACACTCAACAATGAAAAGTCTTTTCTTAACAGCTAATCAGAATTTCCCTTGTGGTCTTTTGTCTACTCTCTCTCATCTTAACCCCACACACCTCCAAGAGGAACCTGGCTCCAGCTTCCCCACATCCTCCCACACAGTAGCTGGGAACATTTGTCCTTCCAGCATTCCCACCGCTCTCCTTGCATCACCATGCTCTGTAGAGAGCATGTGCAAAAGTACACATGGTAGGACACCAGCAAAGGGGAATCTGCAGATAGCCTGACTCAAGCTCAGCTTCAGTGCCAGCAGCACTGCTCCATCTTGCCAAGACTATGGAGAGAGGGTCATGTTTCCGCAGCCCCGCTTCCTTCCAAAACCAACAGGGCTGGCAGCTCTGCCACAACCTTCTTTCACAACCTCGTGAAACTACACGCAAGGTTTTTCCACACCTCTACCATCAAAAGCTACAAACTTCTTTGCACTAGCCCACGTTATGATGTCCCTGATCAAGTTCTCCACTTATGTTATACAGGATTAGCAGATTCAGTCTTTGGCACTGCAGTAATGGGACATTCAATCCAGAACCATGGCACTCAGCACAAGTTCCATCACCGCAAGCCCTCTGTGGCCCTTCTCTCCAGTATGTCCACGTTTCTCTTCCACTGAAGAGTGCAGAACTGGGCACAGCACTCAAAGCAAGGCCTCCAGCAGTGCTGAATAGAGCAGAAATAAAAAAATCACCTCCCAGTTCTCCCAGTCCAGCCAGAGAAGGGATACACCGCTGGCCTGAAGACTGGGCATACAAGAAAGGCTGGTGGCCTTCTCCTAGTAGAAGGTCCAAGCAAGGGATCACGGCATCATGTAAATACAAGGAGCTGAGAGGAAATGTGTCCCCAGCAAGAACAGGAGTGATGCTCTAGGCACCTTTACCACCAGCTTAGCCATAAGCCAACTAAGCCGAGAACCTGAAAAACATCAAGTGAGATGAGTTTGGGTTTTTTTTCAGTCAGCAGAAGATGCCTTTGCAAATGTCCCTCAGCAGTACAGGGAAGAAGCACAGATGCTGGAAGAGCTGGATATTTAGGTTTTTACGCTCTCTTGCTCTCACTGTCAGAGCTCTAACTCTAAAGATGGAAAAGACCTGAAGAAGCTCCTTGGCAGGAGCTGTTCCAAAACAAACGAGATCAGGCCTGAACTAGAATGGCAGAAGGAGCTGTGCACGTCTGGAGTTGGAGCTCTGTTGAGGTTCATTTTTCCCATGTGTACTTCAGTAATGAAGAAAGGGAACTTAAGGCCAGCACAACGGGACTGAGGCAAATGCAGGGATGGCAAGGCTCTGCACACGTTTGTCAGACAGGCATCAGGATGTCAGCTCAGAAATATAAAGACCAACAGCAAGGAGGACATAGTGCAGCCCTGTTTCCCTTTGAACCACATCAAAGGCAGGTAAGCAGAGCCAGGTGAAGGCAGATTTCGGTAGTTTTTATTAGATGGGCTTACTGCCTCTCAAATATGCTCAAAGGGCATGTCCATGAACAAATCCACACCTTAGTTCCTCAAACGTCCTGCTTTTTTTCTCTCTACACCGCAGGGCTAGGTAACACACCTCCTGGCCCTACTATTTTTGCACAGAGCCTGTCTGCATTTGCAGCCTACCTTTCCGGGGACATTCAATCTAGAACCAGGGCAATCAGTAGAAGCTTTACGTACTAGGAAACTTCCTTTTGCCCTTTAATCAGCACCATCATTATCCTCCCTTCTGTTTGTGCAACTCTTACCATGGAGATGATTGCAATCTCCACAACAGCAAGAAGGGCCTCGTTCATGAGATCTGAGGGTAAGGCCCTCGCAGTAAGCAGCTGGTTCCTGGTAAATACAAGCATCTGCACCCTAACACAGATCCATCTCCGTGAGGTGTGCCAGACCAAGGATTCAGTGGATCTGGGAAACAATCTTCTCTCTCCCCTCAAACATGCAAGTTTGCTTAGTGCAACACAGTAGCTTTCAGGAAAGACCAAACAGAGGACTAGTCTCAAAGCAAGGCAACAACATAGGACCAGACCAAATTTCTTTCTTCAACAAGGCCTACAATGAAGGAACAGGCAAGGAAATCCAGTCATTGCACGGTATGCTAGCACATGTCTTTCCTATTTCCAGCTTGCAAATAGGGCAAAGCAGAGGTCCCCCCATTTCACTTACACGCCTTAACTCGCTTGTTTCACCATCCTTCAGGGAAGACTGGGGAGAGGCACAGTCTATAGACGAAATACCAAGGCCTCTAAAGAGGCCCAGCATCAACTTTGATAGAGTACTTTACCTATCAAGGTTACTTAAATCTTGCTGTCAGAGAAGGATTCAACCCTGCGGGAGGAGGGGTTACCACGCGCAAGATAGAGGGGAAATCTCTCATTCGAATTTCCACAGTGACAGCATTTAAACCTTTACGATAACAAGAGAGCTGCAGCAGGACAAAGGTCTCCTGGTACCTGCTGAGGCCAGGCAGACACCAGCACCACTACCTAATCCTTCCTGATAGTTCCTATTTCCTTCAAGCAAGTCCAGACCACACTTATTCACATTCAGCCCCTGCTTCATTTCAGTAAAAACAGACAGGGCTTAGTCAATCATGACTATGAGGCAAGTCTTCTAGTGCCAGGGCAGCTGGAAAAGCCTCTTCTCATCTGCAGAAAGGGCAACACTTGCTTTCCTGTGCCAGGGCCCAACAAGAATGCATCTGCCTCCATTAGCACAGCTGTACTAAGACCATAGCAGAGGTCCTGGCTACACTGGCATTTCCTCCCAGGCCCAAAGGATTAGATTTATTAAGGTGGCAGCAATTTTCCTAGGAACCTCCAACTACTTGTTTAATAGAGCAGCTTTTGTCATCATCATCCTCCTCATCTCCTGTCAGGTTCTGACCAGCTTCAGATGTTTCAAGCTTTCACGGTTAACACATGCTCAGACCCCTCCAAGAGCATTTAGCCTTAACTAGGTTTCAGTGCAGCTAAACAGAGGACCAGACTACGGGACATATCAGAAAACAGGAGCAGTTGGTCACTTGCAACACCATGAAGTCTTACTGCAGTCCGCTTGGCGTGGAAAACAGATTAGGATGTAGGATGGTCTGGTGGGAGACTGGAGACAGGTAGAAGGACCAACCAGCTCCTTGGTGAGGATGAGCCTCTGCACTAGCTGACTGGGAACACTCAGTAGGAGTTCGGAGGAGAAAGAACTACATGGAGGCTCTATATAAACTACAGCCAGTGACGTGGCACAGTAGGGTTTTAATTAAGCGGTAAAATGGCACCTTATCTCAAACTCCCAACCTTGCCTCCACAAAGACTGTAGTCAAAAGTCTCTTGGGCAAGAATGTGTTTTACTCTCCTGTTGTGAGCAGCTATCTGCCCACACAAGGAGATGGACACACAAAGAGTGTACATTCAGCCAGAGTTTCATGTGCACAGTCACGCCCTGCCTCGCTCTTCCTGTCACCCACTGACTTGAGGTGTGGTATATTCCAGAAATTCACATTCACAGAAATACAACATTAGTTGATACTGAGAAGTGTCAGTAACGTCTCACACAAGAGTAGAATTTCTTATCAAAGGACATAAAATAGTCAGCAAGCACAGAAATATCACCCACAGCAGGAGAAAGGTGATGGTTTACAGCTTCCTGAAGTTAGAGACAACCAGAGCCAGTATCTTCACTCCTCCAGCAACACCCAGTTCAGCACAATAGACACTGGGTGACACTCCCATAACAAGAACAAAGCCAGGCTAGGCTATGCCTAGAGAAGCCAAAAGGGGTGTGTGGGGGGGTGTAGAAACGTTCCTTCCAGCAGCAGCAGGTCAGAGAGATCATCTCACTGTTGGTTTTGGGAGGTATGGTCTCAGACAGGCACAGCAGAGACCTCTCAGAGAAAACACAGGAGAGCCAGGCCCCAGAAGCTAACTTCTGGGATAGTCACCCTTGGATAGCTAACAAGCAGAATCAAGGAGTAGAGCACACATGCGAAAGCCACGTACAGATACTTTGACAATGTATGTTTTCCTCCTTTTGGAGTTAAGTACAGCCACTGATAAATGAGATGCAAGAAAGATTACAATGGCCCGCTGAATATTGGGAAAGGCTTCATGTGCTCCCCTGCTAAAAAATGCATGAAAGCTCATCACATGGGGCCTTTACAACTTGGCCTGAAGGCGCTTGGGCATAGCCCTACAAGGCAACGACCCCAAGACAGTTAGAGCTTCTCCCTCCCCAATTTACTAATCTAATCTGATCACAAAGAGTCATTGTCCCACAGCAGATAGGTTGGTTTTTTTATTGCTTTCTACTCCAGGATACTAAAGAAACCATAAACAATACCGCAAGTGGTCACAAAGCATGACTAACGACGGAACATTGCATGACCTGCCTTTCTCAGGGATCCTCGGAAAGCCTTGCCAAACTGTAGCTTAACAGCTGCTCAGCAAAGGGTCATGAGGACAGCCCGCCGTATCCACAGCAATCGCAGAGAGCGGCGGGCTGGTGCAGAAAAGCATAGCAGGGAAGAACCCGGCTGCGGCTCGAGGGTTTTGCTGGGATGGGTTAAGGTA